CCGGGTTGACTCCATCATTCACTCACACAGGGAGCCCGATTTGTGCTGAGTACTAATGCAATAGCATGAACTGGCTCATGCCACCATCAAACCAGACCAGTGCTCTCCTGAAACAGAACAGGCCTCGAAAGACAGAGTAGCCCTTAGATGGTCTCACTCCCAAGGGGATGGCTCTGGCCTCTGCAAACTGAATTAAATTGCCAAGGCAGCCCAAATACCAGAAGGGTGAAGAATGCCAAGCCTGGGAATGGTTGATGGGGTGGCTGAATGATCCTGACTATGATAATTACCAGGGGGCTGGACAATGGGCCTCTTTGGCACCTATACATAGTGGCACCTGTATGCACAGGCCTTCCTTCTCGGGGGTGTGCAGAGGGTTTAAAGCAGCTCATATCATATCATTTATACTCCAAAAAGAGATGGGCACTTGGTGAGCTCACACCAACAAAGACACTGCTATACATTACCTGACCAGAAGCAGGGAGAGAACCTGACCACCACTGGAGAGATAATATTGGTAGCTGAAGCATTCAAAACTCTCCAGTTACCCAGAAGTTGACTCAGACCACTCCAAGGATGTTTGAGTCAAGAGGACTGGCAGGAGGATGTGAGACTGTCCAGGTAAGGCCTTCAGTAAAAGGGCATGGCCTGTACTCAAAGGATGCCGCCAGCCCATAGATAGATTTACGCAAAGGTGATGGAAGTGAGAAAATGTCCTTATCAGGATATTGACTGTCATGTGATAAAACAGTGTTCCTTGAACACACTATGCAGGCCAGAGTACCTGCAATGTGAATGACACTCCCTACATGAGGTAGGATCTTGTGTGTACTTCCAATACAAACCTACTGGCAGCCCTATGGTCCACTGGGAATGTGGTGTCTGAAGAAGCCCTCCTTTGCAGATATCAGCCGCCAAGATGCTCACCCTCCTGGCCCTGGCCATCACACTGGCTGTCCAGGCACAAGCGCTTGACCTGCTGGCCCCACCTCCAGTGCTGGGAGAACTTCCTGTCAAAAGGCTCCTTCCAGTTACCGGACAGTTCCGCAGATCTCTTCCAACTCCAAGTGGTTCTCCCCCTTCAAGACGCCTAGTGGACACTCCCCCTACAAGACGTCTAGCTGACACTCCCCCTACCAGACGCCTAGGGGACACTCCCCCTGAGGTCAAGGACGGCATGTCTAGCAGCAAACTCTATGACTGTAAGTAAAAACTATTTCATCTATACACTTTGATGTTCACATCCCTCACACGTTTCTCATTTCCAAGCACAAAGACTATTCATTCCTTCTTCATAGTGATTCTCAAAGAGGAAGTGGTAGAATCAACTCAGGAGCTTGTCAACAAAACAGCTGCTTGAGCCCTGATTTGTGGCTCATGTGGTTGAAGTGTTGACCCATACACCAAAAGGCTGCGGGTTCGATTCCTGGTCGGGGCGCATACCTAGGTTGCAGGTTCAATCGCCAGTTGGGGCAAGTACAGGAGGCAACCTATCAATCTTTCTCTCTCACTTAGATGTTTCTCCCTCACACTTCCTCTCTCCCTTCTTCACTCTGTAAAAAATCATGGTAGTGTTTTTATTTGTTTGTTTTTTGGTATTTTGTTTGTTTGTTTGTTTTGTGTGTGTGTGTGTGTGTGTGTGTTTAAAAGGAAAAAAAAAAGCATATCCTCAAGTGAGATCCCTCGTTGGGCTCGGGCTGCCTGTCACTGTGTCCAATAACAAAGGCAGGGTTGAATCATATTAGGTGTTTATTAAGAAGGCCAACCAACCAAAAAGACAGGGTGCTTACATCAAACCCTGTCTCCAGCAAGGTGTAGGGGACAGGATTATAAAGGGGAGGGTGCTAGGATGAGGAATGCAGCTACGTGCAGGCCTGGGGGTCTGCAGATGTCAGCTCCTGTAATTAGTCATCAGGAATGAGATGATGTTTTGACTCCTGGTGGGTTGGTCTGACCGTGCTTATTTGTTCTGCTTGCTGGATCCACAGCTGAGTCACCTCCTTAGCTGTTTCACACAGACCTTGACAAGGAAACTTTAAAACGTAACCCATATTCATATATTAAAAAAATGTAACCCCCTATTCACATAAGTATATGCGTTCTAAGATTTAAAATTTCAGAGAGGAAGGGAAAGGGAGGGAGAGAAAGAAATATCAATGATGAGAGAGAATCATTGATCTGCTGCCTCCTGCACACCCCACACTGGGACAGAGCCTACAACCCAAGGCATGTGCCCTGACTGGGAATCGAACCATGACCTTCTGGTCCATAGGTCCAAGCTGAACTACTGAGCCACACCAGCCTGGCTTTTTATAAACTTTTATTTATTGATTTGAGAGAGAGAGATTTGTTGTTCCACTTATTTATATATTCATTGGTTGATTCTTGTATGTACCCTGACACTGAATTGACCCATAACCTGAGGGATCTTCTAACTGAGCTAGCCAATCAGTGCACTACTGGTTTTATAATAAGATCAAAATGATGCTGAGGCTCTTATCTGTAGTCCACACATTGGTTAGGATATGTCAAAGCAAGTTTAGAGAAGGGAGCTCCTGGGTCCAGCAACTTCTCCATTTACCTGTCTTTTATATGACTCCTAACGACACCTGAACATTTCCAGGAAATCTCACAGTTTCTCAACGCTGGGCCCAGAGCTCAGCCCAGACACCTATAGGTGCTTAAAGCATCATCCTGCTTGACAGGAGCCAGAAAATAAGAAACCCAGGCCCACGTCCAAATCCCTTGACCAGATTCGTGCACTGCAAGCTCCCTTCTCAGATGTGGACTTCTGTCTCCCAGCAATTTCCCAGGCCCTGAGGGCAAAGAAAGTCAGGAATTGCAAAACGTGGCAAAGAACTTAGTCCATTTGGGGAATAAGAAGGGAAGAGGGCTCATCGTCAAACAAAGGCCACAGGAAAGTCCTCATGGCTACCCTTAATGGCCCTACAGTCACGGTCACGGTCAACCTTCCAGAATGACAAGACAGGGTGACAGAGAGAAACTCGGCAACTGCCTACTGGCCAGAGCTCACCCATCACTGCTTTCCTCTAAGAACATGTGCCCCACTCTTCTGACCATCCTGCCTTATTATGCAATACTTCACATACACAGAAAAGTTCACACAGTGGTATAAAGGACAGCAATTTACCCATCAAGCAGTATTCAGTGGTGTGATAGTGAATTTCATTGTCAAGCATACAAAAACAGAAAAGATATACACAGCAAATAACTGTAATCAAAATCTACATTCAGAATAAAACCAGACATTGGACTGAAGGCCCCATGACACTTACTGGGCTGCATACTCTTCCAGCCTCCCCTCTTTCCCAACCACAGGAAGCTTCTAGCCTGATGTTTTTCCCTTGTCATTTCTTTATTGTTATGTCAAGTGGCTACTCATTCTGAATCTAAAATTTGCACTACATGTCATAAAGTTTCTCAAAAGGTGGCCTGCTTGCACTGTCTCTCATATGTACGTTTGTGACATGACTTATCTATGAGGAACTTTTGTCCATTTTCCCTGAGACATTCTTCCTGATAAATTCTCCAGGATATATACACCAACTGTGTTTTTGTTCAATTGTGTTCAACTCTAAACAATGCAAATCAGAACACTCTTGTGCGGGTCTTGAAGCTCATACATGCGAAAGATGGAGGTGTGTCCACATCACCCACACTGGCAAAAGCCCTCCAGACTGCAGAGCCCTGGGTATGGGAAGCAGCAGCAAGGCCCCAAAAGCCATGGCCTTGGAGCTTCACAGGGGCAGGTCCTAACAGACTTCTTCCTTCTGCTACTCTATGGGGACAAGAATCTTGTCCCTCAGTCCAATTCACTTTCGTGCTAGGCAGCCAAGGTTGATTGTCATCCAGGTGAGACAGCTCTTCTGAGTTCCTTTCTCCAGCCATCAAGGGCACCACGATAGGATAGGACCCTGTGACTTCACAGCTCTGCTACGTGGCTCTTGACCCTCCTTCCCGTCCACACCGTCTTCTAGGATTTGAGTTCTCTCTGACTTGCTTCTCTCCAGTGTGGAGGCAGATCTGTGGTTAGTGCCTCCTCCACCCCAATGACATTGCTGCAGGTGCTTGCTCTCCATTTGGGAAGGTTCCTTTGACTGAAACAGTTGTGCAGTTAACAGTAGGAATGTGTCTCTTCAACATTTTCAGATCTGAACACCACCCTGCCACCACAGATTGAGAAGCTGCTCATGTGTGCGGATGTGGATCTGGCTGGTGTGCTTGGCACAGTGTTAGAGACAGTGGCCAACCTGGACGTGCTGTCTCTGTTAGACCTCTCTTCCGCCCTCAACATCCTTGGCGACAGTGGTCTTGGTAGTGTCCTGGGCAAGGGGAGCAACAGCAAGTCCTCAAAGTCACCACTGTCTTCGCTCTCAAAAGCCACTGATGCAGTCAGCAACCTGCTACCCTTGGCCCAAGGGGCCCTGGGCGGCCTACTACCCAACACTGTGGAGAAGGATCCTGCAAAAAAAGCTGACCAGGACTCTTCTCTTCTCTCAAATCTCCCCCTGCCCCTGGGTGGTGTGCTCAACACAGTGGGCGAGCTCACAGAATCCACCGATGGCGTACTCAAGAGTGTGGTGCCAAGTGGCATCAGTGATACACTCTCAGGCGTGCTGGGAAATATTAACGTGAAAGACCTCTTGATAGGGTAAGTGCTTCCTTGACCCTAAGGTATGGCACAAGAGAAAAGTGATGTTTGGGGATTCTGAAGCTCAACCTCCTACAAACCCATGGAGACAGCCATATCTTCCCAAAGCAATATTCCAGCTCTGTGTCTTTGGGGGTGGAGGGGTGCGGAGGGAATATGAACAAGATTTCTTGAGCTTAAGGAACTGGGTGGCTAACAGGACTGGGCCATCCGGAGGATGGGTGGGTTGGTAGGTTGTTAGTTGGCAGCTTCAAAGGCATTTCTCCTGCTGCTCAGGCTGATTCCTTGTCAGGACTGACGCTGGATGCTGATGTTTTGCAGGTTAGAGGTTCAAAAAGCAACTGTGGAGAGCATGATGTTGACCATGGCTGATGATGAGATCCTCGCTCAAGCTGCGACTACCACCTTCATAGGTGGAAAAGGGTGAGTCTGTCTCCAAATCAGTCAACTGAGTTGCCCTGGACCAGGCCTTTAATATATAATGTCCAAAGGGCCAGGCAGGGGCAACACAGGAAGGCAGGATGTCTGAGGGTGGGGCAAATTAGGCAGCAAATTAGCCCCTCTCCTCCAGCCCAGAGGGCCAAGCTGGGATAGTGACCCCATGGAACCCCATCTTCAACGAGTGTAAACAAAGCCAGAAATCCAAATTCCTTGTAAAACATGCACATTTATACAGATGGCCAATGTAGAGAGAAACTACTGACCGCACTGGGTTCATGGGAAGTGTAGCTTCCAAACCATCTGCACTCTCCAGAGAGAAGCAGCCCACTCTCACAAACGCTGTCCTAGGCAGTTGGGGGAGACAGAGATGGTTGATTGCTTCTCCAGAAGCTAACAATGGAAACATGCATGCATGCTCAAGTCCATTTATCCACCTAACATGCAGTACTCTGTACCAGACCTCATGCTGGGCACAGAGGGAGCAACTAAAAGTGGGCCCTGTCCTCGGGGAGAGTCCACATGTGGGAGAGTCCACGGTCACAGGACAGGCCCAGGGCACACAGAAAGGCAGGAGAAGGGCAGGAACCCCCCAGGAGAAGAGGACTCTTGGACTAACCCTCGGCACTGATACTTCTCACTGACCAGCACCTAACTGAGGCACTCTCAACTTCCAAAGCCTCTTTACAACCTCATCAAGAAAGCAGCCCTGTCTCAAGATTGGGAAACCAGCTGAGACCCACAAACTGGTTATGAACCTTGCTCAATGCCACACAGCTGAAATGTGGCAGTAACAACACTTAAATCCTGGCATTCTGCCCCCACAGCCCATGTCTGTGACCAACACAATGCGCAGTGGTAGGAAGAGCCATTCACCTTCTTCAGAGCACGTGACGGTAATAAGAGCAGGTGTGGCAAATGGTGGGTTTTTCTTATGCTGTCACTCACACAACAGACAGCTGGGGTGCTGGGCACAAAAGTGAACCTAGTCCTAGAGTGAGCATCCAGTTACAAGTAGCCTTAGTGCCTCCAGAAAGAAAGAAAAAAGACTTCCTGAAGTTTGGTCAGGAGAGGGATTTTCCAATGATTATGGAAAGCCTGCCATGAACCAGATTCTGAGTCCTGTGTACAAGGGATCGTCAACTTTGGGGCATGCTCATTGGAAATCACCAGAATTTTCACTCTCTCCAATAATCTGGACAAATTCATGAGGCTGACTCCCAAAATGCCTATCACTTCGGCTAAGCAACCTCTTGCAGCCAGGTCTCGTTTCACCTGTATCTTTTTTTTTTTTTTTTTATTGTTGAAAGTTATTACAACAATACTTTCCCCTATTAACCTCTTCCAGCCTGCTCCCAACCACCTCCCCACTCTAGCCTCAGGCCCTCGCGCGCGCTACCCCCCCCCCCCAATGTCTGTATCCACAGGTTATGCATATGTGCGGATAAGTTCATTGGTTGATCTCTTCCTACCCACCCCTCACCTGCATCTTGTTCTCCACAGCCTGTTAGGACCTGTAATCAGCATACTGGGATTTCAGATGCATGGGGATGTGACTCTGAAGATTGGTGTTTCCACAAACGCCACCCAATGTGTCAGCCTGCAAGTCCAGGACACGGTCATCAAGACTACAAAAGTGGACCTTCAGTTGGTGGAGATGTACGTGAGACCAACAAGCCTATATGTCAGAATGTCCCCCTGGTACACAGGAGGTTACCCTCATAGATTAGCTCAGCCAGCCCAATGCTTTCAATGAGCAGTAAAAGAGGCCCAGAGAAGAGTCTCTGCTTAAGAACAGACCACTATGTTGAGGAAAGCCATCCCACACTTGGCCTACCTTCTACCTACTAAGCACACATTGTATTTTGTCCCAGTTTTGTTGCATAGCAATGGATTTACCTGGATCAAAATTCAAAAGATACAAAAAGCTATACAGTGAAGTCTCTGCCCACCCATACACACCAGCTGGCTAATGGTACTCCCTGGAAACAACCAATGAATCCAGTCCTTTTTGTTGGCTTTCAGAGATAGTTGCATTGGCAACAAATATGCATGAACATACACACACACTGAAATGGGCAATTATAGATACCTGTCTGCACTCCAATTGTTTCACATAAAGTTTTCTTTTTCATGGAATTAGTTGCATCAGTAAATAGCTTCTTCTTATGTTAAATCTACCATTTATGAATATGCACTATAATTTATTTAACAGTCCCTTATGAAATAGTGGATTTTCTTCCAATTATTACCTTTCTGCCCAACTCTAATTACTAAGGTGCCACACATATCTGCTCATTAAAGTGCACGGTATCTGAAGGATAAATTTCTCCATGTGAAACACTGGGTCAGATGTCTGACTTTGATGATTTCCCCAGGTATCCTCACTTCTCCCTTCATGGCTGTAACTGAAGGTGAAAGGTTTCAGGTGGTTGCAAATTGTAAGCAGCAGGACATCACTGCAGCTGTATCATCAATAGATGAGTTCTCTCCAATGTTGGACAAAATCCAGAAATGCAAACTCACACAGCTCTCCCCGTGTCTCTTCCCAGGGTCACAGATATTGTGCCTCTCCCTCTTCCTCTGCCCTTGGATGATGTCATTTCTCAACTGCTGACAGTTGCCTTGAAGGAGAAGGTGAGTCACAGGAAAGGGGCGGGCACCATCACAAAGGTCTGGGTCATGTGTGGGGAGACAGGAAGAAGCCTTTCCTCAGACATGGCCTGCTGCCGGGAGAGACGTGGGAAAGACACATCGGCCTTCAGGAGTCCAGGGACTAGGGGATGCAACATTCCCTCTGACGCCAACAGCGGGATAGGACAATGCCTCAAGCTGGCGGGATAGGGGGAGAGGATGGGTTCTGCCAAAAAGAAGGCCAGGAAACAGAAGAGGGAGAAGGGAAGTAAAGAGGGAAGATGGAGAAGAGGAGCTGGGTGTGGAGGTGGGTGGGACTGCTGCTTGTTCTCACAAAGCTAACTGGTGGTTAATTCACAGACCAAAGAATCAACATCATGTGACATTGATCTCAGTGATTTCAGCGAATGCAACAACTGTGAGTACAAACACCTAACTTCCGGGGGGCTGCCCAGGTCAATACAGGGAGATAGCCAAGCCCCATAGGAATCCCATTGGGTGACAGACAGGAGATGAGGCTGTGAGCTGCAACACTGGGTACCTCCAAGCACCCAACCAACTCCTCAGCACGCTCAGGGAGATGGAGGGCACAGCTGGCACCGCCTGTGCCTGCAGCCAGCTTATATATTAAAAGTTATAATTAGTTATTTTATCTCCCCACAGAGAGACCTTCAGGCAGCAAACTAAACCCAGCACGTGGGCTACCAAAGCATTTCCGAAAATGAAAGCACTCTGGAGTATCTCTGAAGAAACATGGAGTAAGGGCATCCTTGTGATTAAGGAGCCAAGCTGAACAGTGTTCTGAACATGTCAGCTACTCTTTGGAACTTCACCAGTGCTACCTCGAAGCAACAAGTGCAAGAAAATCAAGAAGATGGTTTTGGGCATTTTATAATCATATCTTTAATAATTATCCTGTTTTCATGCAGAAAATGACTCACTTGTCTTCAATTCCTACAAAAAGGAGTTTTGTAATGTGTTCATGATAAGTAAAAGTACTACACACACTAAAATCAATAATGAGCCCAGCCAGTGTGGCTTAGTGGTCAAGCTAAGATGTTGCCTTTTCAATTCCCACTCTGGGCACATGCCTAGGTTGTAAGCTTATTCACCATTACAGAGTGTGTAAGAGACAGCTGATTGATGTTTTTCTCTCTCTCTCCCCCTCTTCTTTCCTCTCTCTCTCTAAAAAAATAACAACATATTTTTCATCAATAATGTGAATGATGAGGCAGCAAAGGCCAGGATTAATTTATCTAGGGCACTAAGAGACAATCTTGACCAGGATTAATACTTTTCTACCCACACCTGTGCCCTCCCCTCCCCAACTCCAAGTGCTTTCTTTTGCCCATTGGCCCAACATGAAAATCACACAGGGGATTTTCATGTTTCACACAACATGAAAATCCCCCTCATCATATGTTACACAGGAAAAGGCAGAGACTAGATGCTAAAAGATATATGGAACAGAGCAAGTAAGAAGAGCCTAATACCATGAGCAAGGCAGCAAAGGATCTAGGTCCCAGCTCAGCAGCTACAGGCCATACCAAGTGGCTGTTAGAGGAAGACAAGCCAAATAGGAAACCTGTAAATAAAGAAAACTCCAGACAAGTTTACAAGAAAGGTGCTGAGAAACACAACTGTGATCTCTATACCAGGCAGAGACCCTCCGTCCTGCATCCAGTGTCTGCATTAACAATCTGCTCTGGAAACAAAAGAGCAAAAGACACCAAGACTAGAGATGCCAAGCAGGACCAACCACTGAGCTTTCCCCACAAAAAAAAGTCCAAATCACACTATTCCATTCAGCTCTATCTAAACCTTAGGACTTGATTTCTCGCCAGGTCACTACCTCACACAGTCAGTCCTACCTTGGTAAATGGCAGTACAATCCACCCAGCTTTCTTAGCCAGCCACTTGAGAACTGTTCTCCATTCCTCCTCTCCCAAGAACAGATCCTGTCCTGTCAAGCACACCTTTCCCCGTTTTTATTTCTTTCCATCACCATCCTAGTCCAAGTCACCAACATCATTTAGTAGGGCTACTGACCTCCCTGCCCTTGTCACCTACAATCTATCCTCCACCTGGCAGTCAGAGTGCTCTTTATAAAAATGCACATTCCCTACTTGAAAACCTTCCACCAGTGCTCATGAGTCTATGAAAAAATCAGAACCCTCATGCATTGCTGGTGGGAACGTAAAAATGGTTCATCCTCTGTGGAAAACAGAAAAGGTAGAACATGGAGGAATTTTAGGGCAATGAAACTATTCTGTATAATAAAAAAGGACTTTATTACTTTAGAGCAGTTTTAAATTTACAGCAAAATGATTGGAAAGCACAGAGAATCCCCATATACCTCCTGCCCCCACACATGTCCTACATCAGAGTGTACATTTGATGAACCTACCTTGACTCACATTTATCACCCAAAGTCCATAGTTTATGTGAGGGTTCTCTCTTGATATACACTCTGGGTTTTGACAAATGTATAATGACTTACAAGTCATTCTGTATGCTTTCCAGTCTATTTTGCTGTAAACTTAAAACTGCTCTAAAATAATAAAGACCTTTTTTAAAAAGACAAAGGAAAAAGAAGAACTCGAATAAATAAACTACCTTCTACCCTAAGGACTAGAGAAAGAAGAAACAATTAAACCCAAAGCAAGCAGAAGAAATGAAATGTACAGATCAGAGCAGAGACTAATGAATTAGAGAATAGAAAATCAAAAGAATTGATGGAAACAAAAGTTGGTTCCTTGAAACAATCAACAAAATTCACAAAATTTTAGCTAGACTGACAAAGAAGAAGAGAAAACTCAATTTACTAAATCAGAAATTAAAGAGGGGATGTTACTACCAATCTTAGAGAAATACAGGGATTATAAGAGAATACTATGACCAACTGTATGCCAACAAATTAGATGACCTGATTGAAATGAACAAAGTCCTTGAAGCACACAAACTACCAAATCTGACTCAAGAAGAAATGGGAAATATAAGTAGATCTAGAACTAGTAAGGAGATTGAACTAATAATCAATACATTCTATTAACATGGTGTATTACATTGATTGACATTATGCAGCCATTAAAAAATAAGGAATGAGCCAAAATCGGTTTGGCTCAATGGATAGAGCATCGGCTTGGGGACTGAAAGGTCCCGGTTTTGATTCCAGTCAAGGGCATGTACCTTGGTTGCAGGCATATCCCCAGAAGGGAGTGTGCAAGAGGCAGCTGATTGATGACTCTCTCTCTCATCGATGTTTCTCTCTATCTCTCTCCCTTCCTCTCTGTACAAAATCAATAAAATATATTTTTAAAAAATAAATAAAAATTTTAAAAACAATAAGGAATGAGCCCAGCTGGTGTCGCTCAATGGTTAAGCATCAACCTGTGAAGTAGGAGGTCATGGTTCGATTCCCAGTCAGGGACATGCCCAGGTTCGATCCCCAGTGTGGGGTGTGCAGGAAGCAGCTGATCAATGATTCTCCCTCATTATTGATGTTTCTGTCTCTCTCTCTCCCTCAATCCCTCTCTGAAATTGATAAAAATATTTTTTTAAAGGAATGAAATACTGACACATTATGCAACATGGATGAACCTTAAAAGTATTATGCTTAGTGAAAGAAGCCAAACATAGGCCACATATTATATTATTAAATTTATACAAAATGTCCACAATAGGCAAATCCAGAGACAGAAGATATAGTAATGTTTGCCAATGAGGGATGGAAAAATGAAGAGTGACCACTAATATGTATGGGATTTCTTTTGGAGATGAAAAGGTTAAAGAATTAGATAGTGGTGACAGTTGCACAACCTTGTGAATATACTAAAAACCAGTGAATTGTACACTTTAAAATGGTGAAATCAATGCTATGTAAATTGTAATCTCAATAAAAAGGGAGGGAAGGAGTCAGCCAAAGTGGTTATAGTAATATTAGACAATGTAGATTTCAAAGCAAAAGATATTACTAGGGCTGAAACAGGTTTGGCTCAGTGGATGGAGCATCGATCTGCAGACTGAAGGGTCCTAGGTTCGATTCCAGTCAAGGGAATGTACATTGGTTGCAGGTATATCCCAAGGGGGGCGGGGGGGGGTGTGCAGGAGGCAGCTGGTTGATGTTTCTCTCTCATCAACGTTTCTAACTCTCTATCCCTCTCCCTTCCTCTCTGTGGAAAATCAATAAAATATATATTTTTTAAAAAGATATTACTAGGGTTAAAGAGGTCATTTTATAATGACAAAGGAATCAATTAATCAAGGGAACATAAAAATTCTAAATATATTCACCTATTATCAGAGCTTCAGAATACATGATACTCAGAGAATGGCATAACCTTAGTAATAAATGGGCTAAGAATGAGTATCCAAAGCCTACTAATAGGTATTGATGTCTTCCAAAACTCCAAGTGCTGTCAGACCTGAAAGCAAGGAATGAACTGACAGGCTAAAAATGAGGTCCAGAGAGAAATCCTCAGGTAAAATATGAGAATAAAATGAGGAAGTAGCAGGTGAGTCAATGTCATCAAACCAAAATGTTAGAAAGACCTAAAGCAGTTTTCCCATGAAAATGATTCTCTCCACCTTGGCCTCTCCTTCAGTCTCTAATTCCTAGGATTCAGGGGAGAAAACCAGAGGGGTTAGCAGTATCCACAGAGGAAACCGGGATGGGAATCATTTAACACCGGACATTCTAGAGAAAATCCCAGAAACACTTACCAATGAAGAAACGACAATCATGTAGAGAGACAGAGGGACCACTTTAGTTTAGATAAATTTAATGATTATAACGGCTGTTCAGATAGCAGCAAAGGGATGCATTTCTCCATTTGGCATAAAGTTGCTTCACCACTTGCAGCTTGTTTTCAATGCTTCATTACTTCTTTCATTAGTGACCAGTCATATCTCCCTTCCTGGTGGCAAGGACCGCACACATATCACTCAGGTGAGCAATGGGCTGAGGAGTCCTTCAGAGTGGTCCTGCAGAGCACATGTCCTCTCAGTGTCTGAGAGCTGGCGGAGGTAATCTGAAAGAAAATCAGTCAGGAGAAGCAAGGTAACCAAGACTGCAGCACAGGTGTATGATGTGGAGCCTCCGGAAGAGAGACCACCACAAAGGGCCTGATGGAGACGCCAGGCCAGCAGAGACTGTGTGGTTCTCGTATGCCCCCAATCCAGGGAGGAAGAGGTGTTTGATGCAATAGTAATGCATATTACCATTAGTCAGTACCAAACAGCCATTCCTTTTCTTTTGGGAGAAGGCTCCTCCCCAACATCAACCAAGGCTCAGCTATGAGCTGCCCATCACAGACCCTGCCCTCCTAACTCCCAGGATAAACTGTAATCCAAGCTGGACCAGTTAAATCCTTCCTTAGGATATTTAAGGCCAAAATTTGGTGAGAAAGGCTCTTTCATCTCTAATTAAGAGCTAAAAGCACGTGACCCTAAAGGTACCAGTGGTCTCATTTCTCACCATGAGAACAAGTCGGTCCATTAGTAAATATTTATTGAGCATTTAATATGTTCCAGGAATAGTCCTAGGTGCTAGAAATAGTAAGGTGAACAAAAGAGATGTTTTCCCTGACCTCAAAGGAGCTTTGGGGAGGGGGTGGGGGGGAGACGGGGGACGACGACACAGAGAATAATATGTAACAAAACAAACGAGGATGAAACAAACGAGGATGATTTCAGGCTCTGAGACAAGCTATGAAGAT